TGGGGGGGGGGGAAGGGGATCTGAGGCGAATTGAGGGCTGCTGGCCGCGCATCCCCCGAGAAGCGGTCCCCGGGCGGCCCTCCCCCCCCCCGGCCCTCCCTGCGGCTGCCCCCTTTCCGCGCGCCCCTCCCCACTCACCGCTGCCGGGGATCTGGTTGTCCCACTGCGGGGGACGCGAGGAGGCGCCGAGCTGGAGGTAGAGTCCCAGAGAGTGGCAAAGGGCCAGAGTCAGGCCGAAGGCGCCCCCCATCGTGCTCCCGTCCGTCCGTCCTTCCGACAGTCCGCCCGTCCTTCTCACATCAGGAAGGGGGGAGAAGCAGCCGGCGGCGCCCCCCCAGCTCTCTCCGCCGCCCGCGCCAGGAAGGCGACGCCGCTTCGCTTCGCCTCGCCTCGCCTTGCCCGGTCCCGTCTCCCTGCCCTTCCGTGCCCGGCTCGGCTCCGTTTGTGCGCGGCTCGGCTCCTGCTCCGCCTGCCCGAGACTGCGGGACTCTTCCCTTCGGCGGAGGGCGCCACGGTGCAGCGGCTCTCCCGTCCGGCGGAAGGATCCGAGGGCTTGATTTATCATCAAAGTTTCTCCAAGCGTCATTCGGCGACTCGCAAGGGCTGCTGGGATACATGAAGCTGCTCCCGGAGCCGCGGCAAACGTTCCAGAGAGCCGCATGCGGCTCCGGAGCCGCGGGTTGCCGACCGCCGGTCTATCTGATTTAATTTAATTTAAATTTAATTTAATTTAATTTAAACATATGGATTATATAAATAAGGCTATACTTATGAATTCCTTTCAATCCACATATATACTTTTGACCATATTTTTTTGAAAAGCTGAATTCATACTTCCACTGAGTTTTTGTGTTAAATTATCCATGGGGGGAGAGACACCTTTCGGCTGGTGCCAGTTTAGGCAAAGTCTGCTTAAACCCACAAGGGGGGGGGGTCCTTATGCCCCCCCGTCTTCCCAAAACGTGCATTTCCCTGGAGGAGTGACCTGACATTCCTGTCTGGGAGGTTCAGGGGGCATCAGAAAGGATTCCCCCCCCCAACCAAGCGGACGAGGTCTCTCCCCCTTTATTTATCACGACATGGCACTTATTGCACTGCTGCTGTTCCCAAGAGCACGCATCGACCTAGAGAACAAAGCGGATGTCTTTGCCACGGGTGGGGGTGGGGGTGATGTCGAGGGCGGGGCTCAAACTATTGCCCCCCCCAACCCTCCTCGCCCAGCTGCGGGAATAGACTCCCGTTTGACATTCCCTCCAACCCCCGAGTTCAGCACCGGACTGGGGACAGCTCCCAAGAGCGCTCCTCCTTTCAGCACCACGATCGCGGACAGCGCCCCTCCGGCCGGCATCGAGCCCCCCGGCGCGCCTCTCCCAGCTGCCGCTGGACACGGAACCCTCCCCGAAGACCGTCCAGAGGACCCGGGGAGCCCTCCTGGCGGGGCACGGGGGCAAAGTCACTGCCAGACCGGGGCTGAACCAACAGTTCAAGGGCCCAGACAGGACGGCTGAAAATGGCTTGCCTGGGACAGATTCAGCAGTTCTGTGATCTTTAGTTGTTGTAGATTTCCCGGGCTGTCTGGCCGTGGTCTCGGCAGTGTAGGACCTGACGTTTCGCCAGCAGCTGTGACTGGCACCCTCAGAGGTATCACAGAGAAAGAGGGGGGACTCTCTGTGTCAAGGTGAGAAGAAAAACGGTAGGCGGAGAGCACGTCAGGTCCTGCAATGCCAAGACCACGGCTATACAGCCCAGAAAACATAAGAACATAAGAACATAAGAGACGCCAATGTTGGATCAGGCCAAAGGCCCATCCAGTCCAACACTCTGTGTCACACAGTGGCCAGAAATACCAGTGCCATCAGGAGGTCCAGCAGTGGGGCCAGGACATTAGAAGCCCTCCCCCTGTTGACCCCCCCCCCAAGCACCAAGAAGACAGAGCATCACTTGCCCCAGAGCCCCTAGCTATACCTTGTGGCTAATAGCCACTGATGGACCTCTGCTCCATATGCTTATCTAATTCCCTTTTGAAGCCGTCCATGCTTGTAGCACCCACCACTTCCTGTGGCAGTGAATTCCATGTGTTAATCACTCTTTGGGTGAAGAAGTACTTCCTTTTATCCGTTCTAACCCGACCGCTCTGCAGTTTCATGGAGTGCCCACGAGTTCTTGTACTGTGAGAAAGGGAGAAAAGTACCTCTTTCTTTACCTGCTCTTTCCCATGCATAATCTTATAAACCTCGATCATGTCACCCCTCAGTCGTCTTTTCTCCAAGCTAAAGAGCCCTAAGCGCTTTAACCTTTCCTCATAGGGAAAGTGTTCCAACCCTTTTATCATTCGAGTTGCCCTTTTCTGCACTTTTTCCAAAGCTATAATATCCTTTTTAAGGTGTGGTGCCCAGAACTGCACACAGTATTCCAAATGAGGTCTCACCATTGATTTATATAGGGGCATTATTATATTGGCTGATCTGTTTTCAATACCCTTCCTAATAATCCCTAATAAAACCTACAACAACGAATGAACTCCGGGCTTTGAAAGCCTTCAACAACAGTTCTGTGATCGCCTGTCCAAATCTTGGCTTCCTCCAAAGCTTCTAGCCGAGGGTCTGAAGGCCCTGGCCTTGGGCTTGGCCCCCTCCTGGCATACTGATGTCATCAGAAAAGTTAATCTCTGAATGAACATTGGGCGATTAAGTCTTCTGAATGCCTCCACGCCTTGGTGACATCACAACACACATACACACACACACCGAGCTGCCCCGTACTGAATCACACCGTCCATCCATCAAGATCAGTATTATCTTCTCATACTGGGAGCTGCTCTTCGGGGTCTCAGGTGGAGGTCTTTCACATCACCTACTTACCACCTGACTGTTTTTAACTTGAGATGCTGGGGATTGAACCTGGGACCTTCTGCATGCCAGGCAAAGGACTCTTCCACTGAACCCTAGGGTCACAAATAGAGCCAATTTTCTCCCCCAGCCCCCAGGTGATTGCTTGCGGGCAGCACAATTGACTTCTATTTCACTTGCTTTACTTGTTTATAGTCTATAAAAGAGTCAGAGTCCAGTAGCTCCTTAAAGACTAACAATATCTGTGGTAGGGTATGAGATTTCGCAAGTCACTCCTCATTTCTTTTTTTTTAAATTGATTTTTAAAATTATTTTCTCTTAAAAAGGGTGGGATACAGAGGGGGAAAATGGGGTATGGGGAAAATATAGATTCATCAAGTTTGGGAAATAGTATGAATTGTTACGTACAACAAGTAAAATCAGATGTAGTACCAAATGTATTACATATTTCAAAAATTAAAGCAAACAATAAAACTTCCATATTAGAGAATTTTGGGATAGATTCTTTCTATAAAGAATAAACAAGAACTTTCCTAAGGATAGTGATAATCTATTAACGACAGAGAAAATTACATCTTTAACAACTGAACAAACTTCTGTACTAAAATTAAAGCACTGTAAAAACCAGTTTTGTATAGTGGTTAAGTGTACGGACTCTAATCTGGGAGAACCGGGTTTGATTCCTCACTCCTCCACTTGCACCTGCTGATGTGACCTTGGGTCAGTCACAAGCTCTGGCACAGCTGTTCCTGAAAGAGCAGTTTCTGTCAGAGCTCTCTCAGCCCCACCCACCTCACAGGGTGTCTGTTGTGGGGAGGGGAAGGGAAAGGAGTTTGTCAGCCGCTCTGAGACTCCAAGTGAAGGGCGGGGTATAAATCCAATCTCCTCCTCCTCCTCTTCTTCTTTTTCTTAATAATGTCTTAATTGTTTATCTAAATCTAAATTTTATTCTTACTAATTATTTAATTACTACTGGAATACAGAATAAAGTATTGAAACTATAGTCAATATCTTCATCACCTTTAATAGGACATTCAGATAACTGAAGAAGTGAGCAGTGACTCACGGAAGTTCCTAGCCTGCCTCTAATTATGTTAGTCATTAAGGTGCTCCTGGACTCTTCCTCTTTTCTACAGCTTCAGACAGACTAACACGGCTTCCCATCTTTGTTTATGGTCTGTCGCACTGAGACTTGAGGCAACCTGCACAGTGTAAGTCAATGCAATCAATAGGATATGACATCTAATAACCAGACTAGGATGGAAGAAATTGGGGGGGGGGGGGAAGCAAAAAAGTATTTAACATGATATGTTAAATGATGTAGAGATGGTAGAAGACAAGGTGGAAGGAGCAGGATAATTCATACAGCAAGCAGATAATGCACACAATGGTCTAGTTCATGGTCACATTCTTCATCAAAAAGCATCTTCCTGAACCATTCCGTTGCAATACAGCCCCATTACCTTGTGTAAAAATGCCCTGCTGAACAATTCTGTTCCACATACTTTATGGAAAGACAGAAGCACGGGAGCCTTTCTGACCTTCTCAGGCACGCCATTCCACAAGATGAGGGCCACAACAGAGAATGAACAAGTCCAGGCAGTTGTCAATAAGAACATAAGAGAGAAGCCAGTGTTGGATCCGGCCAAAGGCCCATCCAGTCCAACACTCTGTCACACAGTGGTCAAAAATACCAGGTGCCATCAGGAGGTCCAGCCAGGGCCGGCTCACTCACTAGGCAAACTAGGCGATTGCCTAGAGTGGGACGGCCCTTAGGGGCACCAAACTGCACCCAGCCCGTACTCTGGGAGTTTCTTGATTATTTGTGTTTTTCATTCTTCCTAAAATGCATTTATTTTTTAAAATTGGTGGGCGCAGGGGGGGGGGCAGAAGGGATCCTTGCCTAGGGTGCAAAATAAGCTGGAGCCGGCCCTGGGTCCAGCAGTGGGGCCAGGACACTAGAAGCCCTCCCACTGTTTCCCCCCGCCCCAAGCACCAAGAAGACAGAGCATCACTTGCCCCAGAGTCCCTATCTATACCTTGTGGCTAATAGCCAGTGACTGACCTCTGCTCCATATGTTTATCCAGTTCCCTCTTTTTTTAAATTAAATATTTTTATTTGCTTTTTGAAATTTTAGAAATAATTACATCATCCAGTCTTGTTGTAATAGTTGCAGAGATTTTCACATTTCATATAAAGTAAACATAGATATGTATTTTGCACTGTCATTTAAATATTAGCCGGTATGAATGTACAAATAGTTTAATACAATCTCTATTAACTTGTTTCCTTTATATACTTAGCCAAAATTTATCTCTTTTAACCATCTGTAGAAACAAAGCCAATAATGATCTAACACCTCGAAACTTTTTTCTTGAATAATAAAGGTTAATTTCTCCATCTCTGCTATGTCAAATAGTTTATAAATAAATTCTTCTTATTTATTTTTGTCTTTCCACCATCGTGGGGAAGGCACAGTCTACAGTGAGCTGGTGTAGCACAGCCACCTTTCCATCTTTTGGCAAATAAAATCCTAGCTGCAGTCAAGATTGTATCCAATTCCCTCCTGAAGCCGTACATGCTTCTAGCCGCCACCACTTCCTGTGGCAGTGAATTCCAAGTGTTAATCACTCTTTGGGTGAAGAAGGACTTCCTTTTATCCATTCTAACCTGACCGCTCAGCAATTTCATGGAGTGCCCACGAGTTCTTGTCTTGTGAGAAAGGGAGAAAAGCAC